TATTTTTATCTATAAATTTTATACCAGGTATGCATTAGGAACGACCATGCACGTTATTAAATTAATGGTTTTTCTTCAAGCAAAAATTATTTGGGTTCTATTTTGGAGATTATGGTAGTATATTATTATAAGAGATATTACCCGAAATAGGACTAAAACAGTTTGAAAATTTCAAAATAGGACTGCTATATTTTTATTCCCAAAATAAGACTAATTAATGTCATGTTTTGGCAGTACCAGACTTCAAACATGGCAGTATTTTCTAAACAAGTCACTAATTAGTCCTATTTTGGGAATAAAAAACATGACACTCCTAGTTTGAAATTTTGAAACTATTTTAGTCCTATTTCGAGAACTTTCCCTTGTTATAATGAAGGAAGCAAAAGGGGTTAACCTATGCGGGCTTACATTAGCCAAATGAAGAATAACACTAGGAACCGGTGGCTCGGAACTACCGAGATGGTCTGGATGCTGTTAAACGAAAATGAGGCTGATATAGAGGCGGATGTACGGTGGCAATGATATGCTGATTTAGCAATTGTTGTGTCACCGACAAAGATGTAGATGTTGCAGTGGAAGACGAGGATTGATTTTGATGGTCATGCTCACATTGTGATTATGAATTTCTAATGACACTAAAACTTTCGCATTGATTTTTATGGTAAAAGTCTTATATTGAGATAATACTAACAAACAAGACAATATTTAGATAGCAACAACTGATCCAACCGCAATAGGCATAAAGTTGGTCACTCAAAAACAAATCAAACTTGACTCACTAGACACAAAATGAGCAAACACAAGCCAACTAGATACTCCGTACAACATAAAACTACACCCCATGACCTGGTTAAAGATGAAGAATTCAATTCCTAGCTTTCATGTTGTTTCCTCCATATCCAAGAATGACAAGGGAAACTTCCTCAACCACCACTGAAGCTCCCCCCATGTTTAATCTCACTATCTTTCCACCTTCCTAGTACCTAGTTTTAGCACTATAAATAGAAAGCTTGTAGGGTCTTTCTATCATCAAGTAAATCAGATCATTGATCATCATAACACAACCAAGAAGAGTTATGAATATCCTCTAGAAATATGTGAGGTGTTTTTTGAGAGGTTTCGATCAGTTAAAGCTTGTATGTCTCTTCTTTTTATTTTTGAAAGTAATAGAAGTATTTTTCTCTCATATTAGCATGATCATGTTTTTCGCAACAAAAGAGTCTAAAAATAAAAAACACATAAATATGAAAATTTAAATATTTAAAACAAGAAACACGGATAAAAATGCAGTAATGAACAAAATTCACGATCTCCAAACTCTAGGGTCCGTTTGGTTTGGGGTTATCTCACTTTGAGGCCGGAATGTGATGTCTGGAATGTTAGATACCCATGTTTGGTTCACGATTTTGGGAAAAAATCGGGAAAGCTACATTCCCGGAAATGTAATATGGAGGGGAATGTTATACCCTTCCATGCCTTAGGTTATCTCACATTCCCGGGGATGATCTAATTTTCTTCCGAAAATACCCTCAATTAATTATCGTTTTTCATTTAATTTCTCTACGTATTCAACTTTTATCATATATGAATTTTTGTAATTTTATAAAACTTTTAATGTAGTTTCTAAATATGTAAATTTTATTTACTAAAAATAATCTTATTATTGACAGGGATCAGTTAATTTTAGAGGTTTTTCCTTAAATATTACTAAAATATAAGTTATGGACAAAAATATTACTACGTTTAATATGCATACTCACTATGATGTAAAGTTGTACACTATCATGGTCAATAAAGTTACTATTATAGTCACTAAGTCATATTTTTGTTCATTACCATCGTTTCGGTTATATATTTGTCATTATTTCTTACCTTTATAGTCAATCGAATATCTAGATTGTGTGATAACCTTTTAAGTGAGACGGATGAAGTATGTTTATTTAATTATATTTGAATGTCTATTCTTGTTATTTTCATAATTCTTTTTTCCTTAACATTTAAATTTTTGAAGGTATTTATGTTATAAGACTTATAGATTATTTAAGTTTTTAATGAGTGAATTCCAAAATTTAATGGCAAAATTGATCATTTTTTCTTTAATTTGGAAATAAGTTTTACGAATAACTTGAACATTTTTTAAATTTAGTTTGTTTGAAATGATAATAAATACATTTAGATTGCTATTTGAACATAGTTTTTTTCATCTCTGTATTGGATCTACAACCTCTTACAATTAAACCTACTTAAAAATAATTCAATTAGATTTGATTTTATTAATTATTAAGATATTTCAATATTCAAAGGGCATTGAAGTAATCCACCATATCTGCAATATAAGATATCTTTTTACGAAATAAATTAATGTCACATTCCCTTAATCTTAACCAAACACAATTGGGAATAAGTTGAATACATTCTCATCAATCTAACATACCCAGTGATCTGACATTCACATGGTAATCTTACATTTCTTGAACCAAACGCCCCCGAGAGTCTAGGTGGGTTTAGGTACCACGAGTCGCCCCAATCTTGTCTTTTGGCCATCAGCATTTACTCCGTTTTATGTTGTTTTACCTATCCTGTTTGAGGTATAACTTTATAGTATTAATAGAGTGTGTACCCGTGCACCGCACGGTAAGATATGTGTTTAAATTATTTCTTAAATTTGTAAGAATCTTGGGTTGTATATAATTCGTCAATCGAGGTTGAAAACAGAATTCAATTGACTATATGTACAAATGTCAAAATAAGTCGAACTCCACCAGGCTTGCTCGTTTCATGGTGGATTGCATTTTAATAATCTGATTAACTCACTGGTTTCGTGGGTCAACATTCACAGGTTTTGATTTGACTATACAACTTGCGATTTTGGTCAAAATATAAACATCTAGTTTTGACTTTCACTATCTTAATTATTGTTTGTTTACTACAAAAATTGTGTGCTATTATGTACTTATTATTTAACAGCAATTTTCATTGAACTATTTCTATAATAACCATTCAAATAAATTATTCCTGCATTTTTTTGTAGTTGAAAATAATTTTAACAATTAGTAGTCATTGTTTACAAATATATACTAAAAAATCTAATTATAAGCTTATTTTTTACAATTACTTCTTTTGATTTAATAATATTTATAAATTAAACTTATCAACTATGGTGTGTTTAGTATTCTAATTTCTTATATTTCCTTTTACTACTACTTACACACAGAACAGTTTTTTAAAAGGTTCAATAGGTTCTACAGAACAAACTCGATTTATGGGTCCCCAAGTTTTTAATAATTTATTACTATTATATAGTAATATTATATATTAACATTAATTAGTAAAATACAGTGAGTAAGAAAGAAAAATACAAATATATCATTTTTTCTTCGATCCTTTTGCTTCTCTTTTATTCAAACAGCTTGAGTAATGAGGCGTGTTGCTTTAAACCAAGTATAAAGTAAATTTTAGTTTTTTTTATTACATTATTTAATGACTATTCAATTGAATTGAATATACTTATTAAGTTTGTTATTTTTATATTAATGTAGGATCTCAATTTTACATTTGAAATCGGGGCCTCCAAATTCATTAGACGACTTTTGCTTATCCACACACACACACACATACACACACTACATATATAATTTGGATCAAATGTGAACATGATCTAAGAAGAAAAATCAGAATGAATTAAGGGCATTAGATTTCAAAGTTGTTCATTTTGTGAAATAGAAATGTGGACTACTATAAATCAGAAAATGAAGTGACATTTTGTAGCTAAGTTTTACCTTTTATGCTCATTTAAAGTACGCGTTGTTTTAATTATGTGTGCACATTCATTAATCATGATGTACATCGTTTCAGATCATTCTTATTTCAGGGTAATTATTTTCAAGATCTTTTTCAATGTGTACTTTTTACATTGATCTGCGGAGCACCCTTTAAAACCCGCAAGATTTTGTTGGAAAAGAAGTATGAGAGGAATATTTTGTGCTACCGTCAATCGCAAATTTTTACATATATTTACACACAACGTTGTGATGCATAAATATAAATATACATATACATATAGCACACGTAATTTTTTTATCTAAATTTTTATTGGAATACATATGAGTGGAGGTTTGGAAGTTGAATAGTTTTTGTTTAATGATGTTGCCACGTGTCATTTTTTCTGTAAAAGATGGTGCCACATGTCAATTATTTTTCTAAAGAACTCTTCAAGGGTTAGCTTTATTATATTATATAGATTTCCATCATTTTTCCTATAAGTATATACTACTCTAGTTCCATAATTAAATTACTATAGTTTACTTTTTTTAGTCAAATTTTATAAACTTTGGCCGACAATTACTCAAAATTACACCATTTTATCACACAAATTTAATTGCATATATACTTCATCGCAATATATTTATTCAAATGTTAATTTATTTTAGATTTTATAAGTATAGATTTATAAATACTTAGGATCAATCTGAAAATTTAATCATCAATATTAATATTAATACTCCCTCCGGGTCCAAATAAAATTCACACTTTTCTTTTTTGGTAGGTCCAAAATAAACTTTACACTTTTCTCCATTCCTTATTTGGCAAATTATCTACATCAAAACAGTGCAAAACAGTACTAAATAGTGCCAAACAATGTCAAACAATGTCACAACAGTGTACTCTACATTAAAGTCAAATTTATTTCCTTAATTTGTGTGAAGTCAAAGTGTGAATTTCATTTGGGACCGAAGGGAGTATGAGACATACAAGTATATGAGAAGGCCTTGCCGGAAACAAACAATAATAAACAATTATATCTAGAATCTATCATTCATGCATCCAAACAATAATAATCCTATCCATTTGCTTCCGGAGGAATGGAATAATGGATCCTCCATTACAATATGATGATGGTCTTGTAGTAATATAAATAAAAATACAAATAAATAATAAATAATAATAAATCAACTTGCCTTTGTATTTAAACATATTTCTGCAAAACCTTTATTTTTTGCGCCAAATTTCAGATAAACGCAGACCGACTGACCGACCGGCAAGGGAGAAACCAGTAGTGTAACTTCTCGTGATCCGCAGCGCCTTCTCCTTCTCTTCTTCTCTTTCTTCATTCAATTCAATCCTCAAGTTCATAACTGCGAGGCACGCTTCCTCCCGTGTTCTTTCTTAACTGAAATGAAACCAGTATTCACCGGCTTCTTTCCTGGAGCGGATCACGCAGTGAGGAACCCTAAGCTTCATTCTTTTCCTCCACGCCTTTTCCGGGTAACTGCTCGTCTTCCTTAGTTTTGCTTACGCTTTTATGTACGGTATTGATTTGACGAGCGCTTGAATAGGAGTCATGGGGGTTTATGTGGTTACCTTTTTATTTTTATATAATGGAATAGCTTTGTTTGAATCCGCTTTCACTTCTATATTTGAAAGTTGATGTTTTTGGTGTACTTAGCGTTAGAATAGTCCGGGAGGCATTCGGAAATCGGACGGAAGGAAACGTGGAATATACATAAAACTTGTAGGATCAAAAGTAGAATTAGTTCTTAGTTCTTGTAAGTTTTATTCAGTTTTTCCCACTTCTAGTTTAATTTTTTGTTTGGTTCTGTTAGTGAAAGTTAATACCAGTGGGACAGTAATTCAACTACAGGGAAAATCAATGGGTTACTAATGAAAATGTGGAAGAAGGGTCCTGGATAGGTTCTGGGATGCAATAATTTAGGCATTTATGTATTTTTTGTTAGAGACGTATAGTGTGAGTTTAACATCAGTGAAGTTAAAATGTCAACAGTACGACCCTTTTCAGAAATAGACCAACTGACCAAGTACAAAGATAATCACGTACATGTGCTCTCATTCAAATTTTGCTTGCCACATGGATTCAGTTACTAGGTTCAATCATCATATTAAATGCCATGTGTTCTGGAATTTACATTTTTGGCAATGCAATAAAGTTGATTTCTTGATTGGTTTATTAATACTTCATGCATACATACTAATAATTAATATCAGGTTTCTGAGTAGTGCCTTGATTTCTCGCAGAATCATGTGCTGCTAAATGATCAGAATCACTGAAAGTTTAAATGCTCGTAAATATTGTGATTTAATATGAAGATTGTGTGGTTTCTCTCTGGACATCCAAGAATCTTCCTTTGCACAATGCTTGGGCTGAAATGGGCTGAAGAAGTATTGAAGGGCATCATGTAAGTTCATTTGGATATACCTAAAAGCGATGACCACTTTTTCTGGCACTAGTGAAATTACAGAGTCGGTAGACGAAGACTTAGATGAAAATAAGCAAGTATTAGAATATTTGCAAAACCAGAATGTGATGAAGACAGGAAAAAGGTATTTTATCAAGCAAGACATCAACAGACTTTTTGAGGCTATAGAAATAAAAAGTTCTCACAAGGGCAGTAAGGATGCATCTCAAAAGAGTGCAATGAAAAGACCAATCAGACCATACTCTTCTCCTCAAGCAGTAAATTTGAAGCAAGCTCTTAGAGGACTATGCATTTCTCATGCATCAGAGATGGCTGCTATGAATAAGCGGTTGTCAAGAATTGGCATTGTACCTCTTCCGCCTCCAGGTGGTTGTGAATCAATGGAAGTGGAATCAGAACAGTATGCAGTTGCTAAGGTGGGCCCTGAGTTGAACAGTGCTGCACAAACATCAGATGTCATTGCTAAACCTGATGAAGGGTCAAGCTCAAAGAGTAGTAATGAGGAAACCTGTCATTTGAAAGGATCCAATCAGAGTGGACATAGACCTCGCACGTCAAAGGATATGCGATGGGAAGCCATTCGTTCTGTTGAGAAGCAGCATGGGCATTTAGGGTTGAGACATTTTAAATTCATGAAAAAGGTTGGGGGTGGTGATATTGGAAGTGTTTACCTGTCTGAACTAATCGGGACGGGATGTTTGTTTGCTTTGAAGATAATGGATAATGAGTTTTTGGTAAGCAAGAGAAAGACAATAAGGGCTCAAACAGAAAGGGATATATTGGAAATGTTGGATCACCCCTTTCTCCCCACACTCTATGCACATTTCACAACAGATAAATATTCGTGCTTAGTGATGGATTATTGTCCAGGCGGTGATCTGCATGTTCTTCGCCAAAAGCAACCAAGCAGGACTTTTTCTGAACATGCAGTTAGGTACACATTTACTGTTTTTATATTCTTGACTTTCAAGCTACAAATATTTGAATCTATTTTGAAATTTAAGAAACCTTTGCTGGAAAACAAATTTGTAGTCTACTCACTTGATTATAAGACATGGCTTCATTTGCCAAAACATGTACAAGTTACCTGATCATATTTGCTTAAATGACCTAATCATGCTATGCAATCAGTCTTATGCAAATATTTAGTTAGAGTCTAATTAAAGGTTTTGTGCATTCGACTCTGAGATATTATGCTTAAAGATAATAATCGAGAAAATTTCATAAACAAGGCTACAAAATGCAAGACATTTCTGATATTAGGATCATCATTGTTTTTTTCCTGAAAGTAAATTTCATTCGTTCCTAAAGAAGATTTATTATATATTTTTTACTCTTTTTTAGGACTAAATGAATTTTATTTTAACTTTTTAAAAAATATATTCCCATATATACTGTATACACATGATTCATATTTTACTCCTGCGTGCAGTAGTTTCCTATATTTATAAATCTTAGTAGGATATATTGGCTAATTATACATAGTAATATTCCTAGTATGGTCAAGAGTGCATCAAATTGGAAAAATAGAGAGATAATGGAAAATATATTTACCAAAAATAAAGTCACGGACAAAATGTGACCCCTGTAATGCATAGTGATTATATTTGAACTATGAAGTAACTATGAATCTGTTATGGTGCTGAAAGTGACCATTTAGTTATATGTTTAACATTAAATTTCATATTAATTATATTTTAGGAAAAAAATCAAAAATAGAGTAGAAAAACTGAGGCTACAAAGTTGTAGCTTAACTAGCTAATTGGTTAGACTCCAGAGTATCTTATAGTTTTGGATTGACTAATGTGCCTCATGACCAGAAAGTTATTCATTGTTTCAGCTTTAGAGATAAAGTATTGAACTATTGATTATACCCCGTATGATGTCTTTGATGCCCTGAAAACTTTGCAAGAAATACCCATCCTTTTTATGATCATGATGTACTTCGTATTAAACTCATAATTTTGATTTTTTTTTAATTCCGGAAGGTAAACCTCAATGTGAGGAATAAGGGCTGGAAACACCTTACCAAGCTGCCAAATAATTAGTTGCTTGTGTCCCATATTTATCTTCATTCTTTTTTTCGTCCCTCCCTAAATAATCTTCTCTTTTTTATGGAAACAACAATATTGTGGTTGCTATCGTTTCTCTCTTCTAAACACACAGTTTTCACTTTTGCGAAGTCAAACGAGAAGTTAATTAAGGGAAGGGTTACTTTTTACAAATGGTAAGGATTTTTAATAAGTTCATATTAATAAAATCCTGCCATTCAATTTACAGATTCTATGTTGCTGAAGTTCTTCTTGCACTCGAGTACCTTCACATGCTAGGCATTGTGTACAGAGATTTGAAACCTGAGAACATACTGGTCCGAGGAGATGGTCATATAATGCTTTTAGATTTTGATCTATCCTTCAGATGTGCGGTTACTAATGACCCAAAACTGCTCAAATCACATTCTCCTCTTCCTGAACCTTCAAACAGGATGTCTAGCCCATGTTCTCCTCATTCGAGATGCATAGAGCAGTCTTTCTGCCTCAATCCATCCTGGCAAGTATCTTGCTTCACCCCCAAGGTAAAAACTGCCGACTTAGAAGCTGCCCAAATGACCCAGCTTGTAGTGGAGCCTACCAGTGCCCGTTCCAATTCTTTTGTCGGAACGCAAGAATATTTGGCTCCTGAGATCATCAAAGGAGAAGGTCACGGAAGTGCTGTGGATTGGTGGACTTATGGGGTGTTCATGTATGAGCTTCTTTACGGGAAGACGCCTTTCAAAGGGACTACCGATGAGGGTACTTTGGTCAATGTGGTATCACAATCTCTCAAGTTCCCCGAGAGTCCTATGATAAGCTCTAATGCCAGAGATTTGATCAGACGGTTGTTAGAGAAAGAACCTGAGAAGAGGTTGGGATGCTCCAAAGGAGCATCTGAGATCAAGAGCCATTCGTTCTTCGTCGGACTGAATTGGGCTTTGATACGATGTGAAATCCCACCGGAAATTCCAAGGTTATCTGCGACAACAAACAACTCACAGAAGAAGCAGGATAAGAAAGAAGTCACAACCAGTGCAGAGGGCATTGGATTTGAGATATTTTAGCACATAGTGTACATTTAAGTGCTTTTATACTGCTGAAATAGTGTGCATGAAATCACATAGTTCCAGTTTCTTGGGATGTGAAATTTGAAATGGACGAAAATACCACGATGAAATACATGTTTCAGTCTATCCTGTAACATAGTAGGGTGAATGGGAAATGAAAGTTTCATGGAGTATGGATGGTATGATTGTATCAAATAATGTCAATCATAATTCATATTTAAGGCTGTCCCGCAACATAGTGAATCATTGGATCATGTAGGATGATTTAACAACTCTTACAAGATGGTGTATTGTTGGAATCTGTGTTATCTTTGAGCTTTGATATAATTAAATTGCTAGTTGAGCTTTGGCAAAAAAAACTGATTTTAAGGGAAAAAATTATTTATGGTCTTAATATTAAAAACAAAACGTATTCACTATTTACATAAAGTAATTGAGCAATTAGACTCCTTGTTTCAAGGAAATCAATGTTTTATTTCTTATAGTTCGTATTAGACAAGTTACATTTGGACTTGCCTGCAGTTACATTTGGACTTGCCTGCAGTTACATTTCTGATAAGCGTGAGTTACATTTCTTTACACACGAGTTACATTACTCTGCTACTGGACACTGGAAAAACAAAAAATAAGTTACTGTTCACGCGCGTGAACAGTAACACGCGTATTTTTGTCTGTGGGAGCAGCATGCTCACGGTGGGCTGCTCCCACGGTATAACAACTGGTGCGTATGAGTTATTACATAACCCAAGAAGTCTCATCATTCAATATAATCAGATATCCTATCATTATGATACAATGTACGAACCAAGCAGAATAAAAAAACAAACGTGGCTGCTTGGAACGGACAATAATCATTAATCGTTAATCAATTTTCGACTATTCATACTATGTAACTCTGCTTTGCAGTTGCTTTCCGAGATCGTTTTCTCCTGGGATTAGAACTGAGGATGCTGGAAAAAGCACTAAGAAGCTCTGTATCCTCGATGGTAATTAACATCTTTGCCGCGTTAGGATTGGCAACAAGGAGCTTTGCCACAAGATAACCAGCAATAGACCATGTTTGGAAGAGGCGTGCCTGCTTCCCGATGAAAGAACCTCGTTTCGTGTCATAATATTCAGGCCACTTGTCTCTACTTATGCGCTTCTCTATGATCTTAATTGCATTTTCAGCAATCTCTGGCCTCTTCATTTTAATGCATGCCACTGTCAGCTGAAAAAAGGGATGTGCCAAATAAGAATTTGAAATATGCAATGGCAAAACTTGGATGCAGAATCTTCTATCTTTGCTTCTTAGCCTTATCTTCCAATTTTGTTACCAAACATGAACTTATTTGGCTAAGTTAGCTGAATCAGTTTTTTCAAGTGCACAAAGTCATCGCCCTTTAATGAAATGAAAGGTAATACCACTTCTATTGCATTTCTAGTTGGTTCTGGAATTCAACCACAATTTCAATAATTTCACTTCATTCAACAGCTTCAGCCAATTTCTTTCCTAACCTAATGGGCTCTAAAATGCAGTTATGTTATCCACCAAAAAAATACAACAGCACATTTGTGGGTAATTAACCCGTCTTTGGTTAATTTCAGGGTACAAACCAAGCGGGCAACAAAGAGTTATAGGAGCAACATTTTACAGTTACCCATTTTTAGTCGCACAACTATTTTGACATTCACATGTTTGGTGTGGGATTTTCATTTTATCAACCCTTGGTGCACCAAAGCGGGTTCCTGATCACTCTTGGACCATCTGACCTACTTGTCCGGCCAATTCTTGCGCAATGAGTTCCGCCGGGTAGGTGATCAGAAAGGATTAAAGGTGGCGAGAATTCATAGTTGTGCACACACATAAAAAAGTCAAACATAAGTAGGATATCACCTAATATTTTATGGGACAATTTGTAAAACATTCTCCAGCAAAAAATAAGTGATGAAAACTAACCTGCCACAGCAAAGTTGGCCAAGAACCAGCATTGTGATAAGACCAAGGCCTGTGTCAAGTGGAAAAGTAAACATTAACAGCAACCACAGGACAATTTATATATTTTCCTACAAAGTAAGAATGTATAAATAAATTGATCATTGTTATAGGTCATTATGATCCGAATCAGTTATTAATTGTATAAAGTTTGCTGAAAAGTGGTTAGAAAATATCTACTCTCGTTTAGATTCAGCAAAAAAATACTCTCTCAGTCCCAAATTGTAAGATACATTTACTATTCATTTGGTCAACATAAATCACTCTTAATCTTTTACTTTATATATCAAAAGTTAATTAAATTTGAATTATTTTTTGCAGGTTTTGTAGCGGTTTTAATGTAGTTTCTAAATATGTAAAATTTATTTTCTAAATCTAATTTGAGTGTTGACAGGGATCAATTTGCTTTACTGTTGGTCAAACATCGTAAACTGTAAAGTATCTTACAAATTGGGACGGAGGGAGTAGCATTTAACAGAGTAAAATAGTACAGTATAAGAGTAGCTCAAAGATAAAAACGTTGCAAAAATTATCAAAAGCTACAAATTCCTAACTTCTTAACACCAGTAAAAAACTTATGGAAGAATGTTCTCGAAAGAGCAGAATGTTCCCACACAAGACTATATTTTAAAAAAAATAAATTAAAAAAAGAATCTGAAATTGTAGGTTCTGAACAAAATCTAATTAGTAAAATAGAGCAATTAGAATAACATTACGTGTTCTTTGGATCGCCACCAGTTATGATACGCCACTCCTGACCTTCAAGAGCGGGATAACATATCTTGAGGGGCATATTTGCCACTAAATCATCCCATTTCGCTTCAATAAGATCCAATATGGCATGAGACTGATCCGTCGTGGCAAGACTGCTCACAATTGACCACAAATTCCCAAGGGAGAAAAAGCGGAAGTCCATGTGAGCTGGCTGCAAGTTGCCAATTAAATAGCCACCTGCACTTGGCATCCAGTCTACCAGCCAGTGAGGAATCTGGTCAGGATATATGTTGAACTTGTTGATAGCTTCATAAGAGTATTCTTCTGTTTTGTAACGGTAGATTTCGTTTAGTTTTTTTACATCAATCCAGTAATATTCACGGATGTGAAATGAGAGTGCGAGTAGACGATTGTTAAGGGCGGTTAGAAGGTCGATGGAAGCTTCTTCAGGAGCAAGCATCTCCCTTGCACATAGTAGGGCCGAATAGAACAATGCCTGCCAATCACATCCCACAAGTGAATGAAGAGATAGTCTTCAAATTGTTTTGAGGGGTTTTGGCCCAAGTATGACTCAAAATGGTAAAAACGCCAAATAAATATGACTACTTTTTAAAAACACAAATAAAAAATCATGTCTAATATGTGACTATGTCACAGGCAGTGACACTGCCTCAAAGTATATATTTTTCCAGCTGATGCAGTTGTTGACAGCTGGGAAGTAGATGGGAGAGAGAAGAAATTGGGATAGATTTAGGTTTAGGAATTATTAAGTCACTTTTTTAGAAATATTTAAAAGTAGTCATATTTTTGTCTATTGAAGTTATGTGTTATATTTTGGCCATTCTTTCATTATTTGTCCTCTTTTTTTTCAAAAGAAAGGCTTCAATTGGCACTTAACTGGTATAAAGTAGTGGACTAGGTATAAAAGTCAATTCCCTGCTGCAAATTTCTTTGTCGTCGTCATCTTTGTGTTGGGGTTGGCACCATGAAACTTGTTGTGTGAATTAATTTTCTAAAACTAGTTGATACTATAAATTCATGCAAAACATTGTCATCAAATTCATACGTTCTTGAGGTATAGTATATGAAATTCCAAAACCATCATCATGAACAGCGATCTAAAGAAGGAACCTGGAAAGGCTGGAGGTAGCCTAGTAGGGGTGGCATTAGGCTTTGATTTGACCGGGCCAAACTGAACCCGAAACATATGCATTTGGTTTTAGTTTGGCAATGGTTTTTCCAAACAGAACCTAACCAAAGTACCAAACTGAAATAGCCGAACCCAATAAAAAATAAAACCTTATAAGATAATATAAACCAACAAATTCAACCGAACCCAAACTGGATTAAATTAAGCAAATCTAGTTTAGTTTTAATTTAATAATCATTTCTCCAATGCCCAGCCTGTTTCAAACTAAACAGAAATGAAAACTAAAAAACAGCTGAACCCGAAATGCCAACCCCCCTCAAGTTGATAAGAGAAGATTAAGTGATTAACATACGTAAAAAAGTTGTACATAATAATTTATACATGCAAGCCCTGGATTTTTCTATAAGGAGTTCAGCCTAAATGGACTGTTTGATTTGCACTGAACTTATGGGACTCACAATTGAGTTTCCAAATGTGGGCCTCATCAATTTAATGCAAATCAAATAGTGTAATCTATACTGTAAAGTCTAATTTTAATATATTTTTGGTATATATAGAGCCTATTTAGTGACCCTTTTTCAGCTTATCAGGTTTATCAGCCAGTTTTTTCACCAAACACGTAACTTTTTATTTTGCACGCTGAATTGTGTAATGACTGTAATCATAAGAAAAAGTAAGGTTGGAGTTACTTTTCTGGCTGTATTGGCTGAAGTTGCCATAGAGGATTATTTTTTATTTTTTCACATGATTTTTGCATAAATCATCAGAATAAGCCAATATAGCCATTTCAACCAGAACTTCAGAAATTTTAGCAGAAACAGCCAATTCAACCAATTTCAGTGTTACCAAACGGGCTCATATGTATAGATAAATAAACTACAACTGGTTCAGTCTTATACTAACTCAATTCATGTTATCTGACCCCAAACTCTACTGTAACTAAGGCTTGGATGCTGTTGTTGTTCAGAGTGAAGATATAAAAGTATATTGTGCCGCCCTTGAAAATGACATTTTAAATACAGCATTGCACATCATGGAACTTGACTGACCTGTGGCAAATTCTATCCTGAATAAAACATTCTTGCTTTTTATATCATTAAGAACTAAAAAAAGTTACTAACATGTTATGTTTATAGGGAAGTAGTTTGGCTGGAGAAAAAAACCTGAATTTCAAGAGGGTGGCCATGAATGCCCATGCGGCGATCAATCATGCAGGAGCCATCAGTGACCAATAAAGTAGGGAACATATCAAAACCATCAGCAAGACATAGCTTTAATACCATTTTCATTCCTGTTTGAACATCCACCCTCTCTACTAGAGATAAGTCTCCCGAACACTTCCCATATGCCCGCAGTAATATAATCCACCACAATCCTGGAACACCCCAAAAGTTCATTAAAGAAAGACAAATATGAAGGTAATCTTCTTTTTTTAGAGAAGAGTAGAAGACATACCAGAATCAACAGGTGCAACGCGGCCAATTGCTGCTTCACCAAAGTCAGGATCCAAAACATCTTCAGTTCCACCCTCATCATTTTCCAATGGAACAGTACGCACTTTGAAGCTCGCAGGCATTAGTCCTTGTCCAGGACTATAGCAATCCATTGTTTTCTCCCAACTCTGTTTGCATGAAAAAAGTGTCCAGTAAGATTAACAAGATGATGAAGTACATGATATCTAGCTAATGAATTCAGAATGGAATTTAATGTACCAAATTACCAATGAACTTGGTGCTTTTAATTATAACTTGTCCCAACTTACTTTTGAGCTTATCTACAAGAAATATAAACTGGGCAAACACCAATGCAACTCGAATTTCACAGATCCAATAATGAATTCAAAATTTAAGCCAATCTCCGTAACACGGTCCAAGGTTTTGGAAAGGCTTATCCACTTCTTGAAATGTTAACTTAATGATTTAATCTTACATTTTTGTATAAATCTCAAGTATAAGCCATCCAAAGTCTTCTCCTCCATCCGAACAGATATGAACGAGAAGACTTCAGATGACTTAGTCATCTAGATATTCATACATATGTATTTCAAGATAAATACTAAGTCCTCTAAAGACATCGCTTCCAAAACTGTCCATCCAAACCAACCCTAACAGTATGATAAGGATTTCCCCTTGTATATGTAGCTCTGAATTGGGGCTTTTTCAAAAAGCCACTTTTCTTAACATCCAAAAGAAAACTTCCCAGTCTTTACTTGTGAGAAGTTTGTTAGAGGTTTCTTTCACAATACTGAAAATCTATATATCATTCTTCAATATCGAAGATTTATAAAATAGGGCATAGCCAACCCTTCAAGAAGCCAGAAAATCCTAAAGAAAATATCAAGTGCAAAAATGTGCGCAAAGAATGGTGGCTACTATTTGCATGCAGCACAATGATTATAGTAACTTTCATATTCAGAAAAATGTGCAGGTTTTAACAAATTACCTCTTCATTAAACATACTACCAGATAGTCTGTCATATTAACAAATGTTAACTGTCATAAATAAAAATATCGATGTATTATACTCTAATAAAAGACACATTGGAATAATGTATCAACAGAAAAAATGGTTGAAGTAGTCAACCAATTGAATTCAATCTTTTAGGTGGTTTGGCCCAAGTGTCTTGTTCTCGATTGAGTGACCCAACCAACCTCAATTCCTTTTTTTATGACAACCAACTTCAATTCTATTATCTAACAAGCTAGACAATTGCCAATCCATTACCAGGTTTCATGTTGCCATACATTATCTCATACTAAACATAAACAGATTAAAGTGATTAACCACAACAAAACAGAAGTAAAGCCTTAACCACAGATAGCTGTTAAATAAAAGTTATCTCACCTGTAATTGAAGAGTATGAAGGAGGAAGTTCCGTACAATATCATACTCCCCTTTCAACAGGAAAGCAATCCCAGAGGGTATGAAGTCACGGATGAACACTTGGTCATAGTTGAGACAACTAGAATCACTGGGATCATTTGCAGCAATTGTTCCGACAGGATTGCCACAATAATACACCATTGATTCTTGCAACAACTTCCATGCCTCATCCTCTATTGAGTTTGACAACCCTTTACTGGATGGTAAAGCTCCATTGCCACTCTTGAATTGCTGTGTAGCAGCAGTATGCATTGTTCTTCCCTTTTCATCCTCAAAACCTTTTTCAATTACCGTTTCAGCTGGTAAGCAATTGCATTGTAATGATTTCAGTTTCCCCTCTTTACACAAGCCAGGGAAACCATGAATTGCTTGTGTGGAGAAACTTGTGGGCGTTCTTGAATTCCCGGAGTATCTATATCCCAAACCTGTTCCTTTGAATAAAGGAAATGAACATGAAATCACAGTGGATGAACATCTATAGAAAGAACGGCATGACATATCCCCTGAGAGGACTTGCAGACCCATTGAGGTTAAGGATCTGAAAATGGGTATACGTTTAGCTCTATCTGAATCATAACAAATAGTTAACCTAATTGTTAGCCTACTTAAATTACTCCACATTTCAGAACCAGTAAACAAATTTATTATTTCCTCAAAACATTCTATAAATAAAATTAATGGTAATTTAAAAACACCAGCTTTGCAGGGAAGCAAGAGTGAGCATGATAATAAGCTAAAAGCACTTCAATTGAATAGATGGGAAGTAAATTGAGAACTAAATAAATATAAAGATCCAATCTTTAAACCTTTTCATGCTGAAAAGTCAGTTAGAACAGTAGAAAATGTCTCGACGACATCGAGAGACAAATTATAATTGCTAACCCAAATAAGAGTGCGTATGATGGGAAGGAGAAATCTTGAACACCAAAGTCGAAGTTGGTTCGGAATTCATGTGAACAAATTTGATGGGAAAAAGAGTAAAGAACAAAAAGATGTTTTTGCTTACACGGATGAGAAGAAGTATGGTATGGAATATGGGCGGTAGGGTGTACAGAGTGACAGACAGGTCAAAGGTTTTGCGTATATGGTTTGGGAAGATTGGTTAGCAGTTCAAAATTGGTCCTTGTAAGTTGCATACGACGTCGTCGAAGAGTCTATCTGTGTTGCAAAACTTTGCAATTTTGAATTAGGTTAATAATAGGAAATGTTAAAATTGTGTGGTTAGTATTTGTCTAAAGGAAAGAAAAATAAGTAAAATCACCGATTAATTACTTCGGGCGTCAAGTGTACTCTTTTTCCTTAATAAAGGTTAGAGCTGCGATCTTCTGATTTTAAAATCATAATAAAATTTTTTCTCATTATGATTTTTTCTTAATAAAGGTTTTTAACGAAACATCTCTCAGACATGAACGAGGTCGAGATCTTCTGGTCTAGGAGAATATCAACTGACACATTTGAGGAGTACTCCCTTTCACCGAGTGTTCTAGCCGTCATTTGATTTGTATTGCTCCTAACCTATTTCGTGTATCGGCCCACAACAATCTGTGTGCCCATGGATACTGGTCAGATGAAGGATACCGGAGCTTCGTATTGTTGGTACCACTTCAGGCACGAGTGGAGGATACGTCACATATGCTCAAATTTGAATGGCTTGCCATGGTTATCGTTCATGAAAATGTTTTTGGCTTGAAAATCCTACAATATATAAATAAATGCGTAAAATGCAAAGTAGTATAATTAAATGTTTTGATTAAATAGTTATATCTATATTTTGAAAATATATATTATATACTTTATTAATTATAGATATATGTACTAATACTAGTATATACATATAGTTATATATCTCTCAAAAATATTAATATAGTAATATACATATATATTTCGAAAATATATTAATATATACTCCGGAGTACTTTATTAATTGTAGTTATATGTACATAGTTATATATCTTTCTCAAGGCAACAGAACGGGGGTTCTCGTTCAGACACGAGTATATGGAGGGAAATGGGTTGGCCCACCTTCTCGTTGCCCAACATACTGACTCCGGCCAAACTTTGATTTTCAGGTAGGTCAATCAACTACCCAAAAAGGTTAAACAAGATTATTATGCGGATCTTTTTGGTATTCCTAGTTTGCGATTTTAGTTATTGCTTTAGTTTTTCTGCATGTATTTTCTTTTGGGTTAGGTCTGATCCCCCCAAAAGATTTTATATTCTTGTTAGTTCATTAAATCTTTGTACCCATGTTTTTTTAGAAGAGGAATGCCTCTTCAAGAGAGGTTTTGGCTCATTCCCCCTCTCCTTTTTGTAATGCTATTTATTTTTTAATAAAATCTCGGCAAATGTCTCCCGACATTTACCTCACTGATTTTGGTAATTTACCTTCTAGAGTAAAAAAAACAAAAAACAAAAAAAAAACTCTCTCAAAACTATTAATGTAGTAATATCTATATTTTCGAAAATATATATTATATACTTTATTAATTATAGTTATGTGTGTGTATATACATATCTCAAAAAATATTAATATAATATATATATATATATATATCAAAAATATATTAATATAGTTATATAAAATATATCAATATACTTTATGAATTAAAATGAAATAATGGAGTAGTTTATATGTTACCAAATCGGCTAAGTTCGACCCACTCGTTGGAGTTGCGTTCGTCTTCCGCACACAACCTTGCCATGAAGAGCATTGGTGATTGATGATCTTGAAACAGGACACAATTGAATCTCGACTCCGTGGAACGTCACATTTTTGCGAAAATGATACATGAATACGACCCCAAAAACTCTCTCCCGATTGATTTATATCAAGGTAGATTCTATGGTACCCATTAGGTACCATACCTTTGTCCACATGGACCAATGAGAATGTAGCAGTTGAATTATTTAAATCTAAATTAAAAATGATAAAGTGGTGTGGTCCAATCAAATGAATGGTAGGTACGGTACCTCATTTTTTAGAAAGGTACCGGAGTTGTCACCTTATATCAATCACACATTCACACCATCTTCGGATATGCTTACCCAAGCGTTGCATAGAGCAACATTCTCACTAACACTCCAATTAGCACCTCTTCTTGAGGAAGACATCACAAAACTTTAGATAGTAAAGAAAATATGATGAAGAATGAGATAAATGAGAGATCATCATCATCACCCCAGTGCCGCAAAGGCTCCCACCAACGGTGGGGTAAAGGGGGGTCAAATGTACGCAGTCTTACCCCTATATTAAAGCAAAGAGAGAATATTTCTGAATGACCCATAATGAAAATCGCGTTGAAAAATACATAAGGTGTTTATATAGGATTTTCAGACAAAATTCAATGTTGCAATTAAAAGAAAACAGAGGTAGTTATTATAGATGTTTATTTATGAGAACATCAAGGTATTAGAATGAAAATTTTGATACATGTTTTTTGTTTTAAATATTGAACTTTAAAAATCTACGCAGCATCACAAGACTCACAACTAGCAAGATTCATAACACCGCGTGTACCTTTCCTCTCTAAAATACACCCACCCCCGGTTCTAGTTCTGGAAAAATAACAAAAAATTAAAATGATAAATACAATAACCAAAAAAATAGTTGCACTATACATAATGACGAAAAACATCCCACATTCAGTTTTACATCAGCAAAAGGGTGTCAAGAGTACATTAGAATTGGATATGACTTGTGATTTGCTCCCGAGGAAAAAGTACATGGATCTACCATGCACCTAAACTGCTAAACAATAGGAGGATAAGGCGAAAGATCTTTCTCAAACTATGAATAATCATCAAATGCAGGGAGCTCATGCATCATCCATGGAGTGATCGTTGTCATTGTCACCTTCATAATATTCATCATCTCGCTGGATTTGCTTGTCTCGTGTATGCTCTGTGTAATATGTGGGAGACAGAAGAAAATTAATAAATTTAAATGTAAACATCAATTTTTCCATCAATTGCAGTTGAAATATGTCACCGTAATTTCAAGTTTCAACTATACTGGGAATGTTGTATGAAATTTATAATGTTAATTACTCCGTATAATATAAAATTATAATGGCAAAGTTTTATGTCAGATGTCCTTCATGCCATAGCCAACTATAAATGAAATATGTACAGTTTCAACTTTTCACTTACGATGCAAGCGTTCATCAGGATTTTGCTCATCTTCATCAAAATCGGGTATATAAAAGTCCGGAGGTACCTGCAAAACAAGAAAAAGATAAGCAATAAAGTAGTCAACTCAGGTTTTGGTGGTCTTAGGATCAAAGATGAGGTGCAAGAATCCAACTTAAACCAAGGGTTATGGCCTTGGGGGATTAAAATAAGCACAACATATTATATTATTAATTATCATTATTTTTATGATAGCAGTTACTTAGAGGCGACAAACAAAACTTGCCTCCTGCAGCTGCACGCTAGGAGCATGCTGGATGCTACGAAGATTTTCCAATACATGTGTTTTTATGGTGCCAAGATATGATTTGCTGTTCATGTTCTCCTGTTCCAAAAAAAGATTGAAATATCAAAGGTAGTTCTAATACTCTCTCCGTTCTTTATTAACTGTCCCCTTGGGTTTTTTGTGATTTATTACCAGAAAATAATAGGGGTAGTATAGAGGGTGTAGGGTAAATGAAAATGTAGGAAAGAGAATATATTAAGAAGAGGAAAGTGATAAAAAGGTAGGAAAGAAAAAGTAATTTGTAAAAAGGTAAGGGTAATAAAAGTGAAGGTATAAAGGTATTTTGATTGAAAAACTTACTAAAAAAGAAAGAGGGACAAATAATAAAAAAACATCCCAAAAAGGAATACGAGACCATTAATAAAGAACTGAGGGAGTGTAAAATATGCAAGGATAGTTCTGATATAAAAAACACACAATTTAAAACGATCTTAATTCTTAATATTACTATAAAACTAGAATTGAAAACTCAACATACCAGGTGCCCACCAGGAATCTTCAATGAATAATCAGGGCCAAAATATTTGATGTAGTCATTATCTGGTATATCTGTGGGGGGAAGATATATGATGTATAGATGTTGAGTACCAAGTACTATAAATACATTTGCAGGTCAACTCCAAATTAACCCAACAATGCATGTACCTTATCATGATGTAATCACATACCCCAGTTAATTAAATGGAAAACAAAATTTGAAATAACAAAACACACATAATATCCCACTTATGTATAATGTTTAAGAAGTCAGTTGCTTCTTAAAAATGGTCGTTGTGCATCTACCTTACAACTAGTACAAATGTACCATAGTCCTAGTTGAACCAAACAACAACAACATCCAAGCCTTATTCACAAAAGAATTTGGGGACCTCAATGAACCAAACAATTAAACAAAATAAAAAGACAACATAGTTACTAGTGAACAGACCATTGGGAAGCTCTGTATCTAGAAGAACCCCGGTTTCGTAAGTCCAACATCTAGCGACGTTTTCTTTTGTATACCCCCCTCCACCAGTTACCTGTGAAAAGGGTGCCCCTCATTGTTAATCAATTACAGTATCACACAGTTCCACATTAAGCACACCTTGTGACTGGGAAAAAAACTACCAGCAGAGGTACATTAAATTTCTTCACAAACCGAACACATTCAGCATGCCCTGCAAGAAGAAGCATCAAATAATTATACACCATGTAAAAACAGCCTATAAAGACAGAATAGTGCACACAAATGTAATTACAAGCAGAGTAACACCATCAATGGAGAGGTTAAAGCAGCCCAAGCGGTCACCAGCTAGGGAGTCTGCCCCACATTGCAGAACAATTGCTCCAGGTAAATATGTCTCAACCACCTTTGAAATGACCTACAAATGCCAAACCCAAGCAAAGAATCTAAGAAGGAACAACCAATAAAAAATATATAAAAAATGAAGATGTTTGTGTTTCATGGCACAGTCTTACTGTTCTAAAGAGACGAGTGAAGCTGGAATCATCTATGCCGTCTTTGAACGGCACATTTATTGCATAAAATTTCCCGTCTCTTTCTCCTACATCCTTCAAAATTAAACTATCACTTTATCACTACGCCAAAAGTTCAGGCCTTGGGAGACATTACATATAATATTAGTTTCATGTTTAAAGTGTGCGGAAA